GGTGATACATGGTTTCTGTAAAAGAACATGCTGGTGAGCAAAGGAAGCACCCACGTCCAAGCACATCCAAATGATTTTGCACAGTAAGTTAATACCAAATTATTATTAGTCTTACCATAAAACACAGGAATTTTTTAATCTACATTAACAGCTTCACACTTATCACCTTTTCAAGAACCTACACTGGCACATTTGTTAGTAGAGGCTGTTTTGATTTTATAAGACCATCAAAATATTCAATATTTTCATGACACTTCAGTTCAATTTGTTTTACTACTATAGAAATTGTACCCATTGTTTGCTCCTGATCATTCTTCATTAATATACAAATTTTTTAGTTTCCTGAAGATAGTCGCAACCTAGTAGTTGTTTCTATTTAACACTCCATACTACTATTTTTGGTTATGATACAAATTCCCGTTTTCGTATTTAATGAAATGATTTCAACAGATAATTTAGTCATAGCAGTTACCCTGAGGCATGTTATAATTGCAATAGCACAAACTACTCTCAGTTTCTTTCTATCAAAGTTCCGAATAGTGTGTTCAAAATTCTGCACTTTCTTCTTTTTTCATTACTTTGGAGCAAATTTTCAAAATTCTTTTACATTTAAATATACAAAGAAAGATTGTTCTAAAAAACATTTCAACAGATAGTCGTAAGATTTAATGGTAATATAGAAGATAATAATAAAACAATAAATGCTGATTATGAAAATAAATTTACATATTTAGAAGCGCGCTGAGGATTGAATATCGTCTCAAGACGGAAATGACATTTAATAAATTTACAAAGACGTGTAGAGCGACATTTCAAAGAAAGCATTTTGATAATTTTTTTCTAAGCCCATATTGCCATTACTGATTCATAGACCCTCATTACAACTTTATGTGGTGATATTACAATTTGTTCGCTCTCAGGATTTTGATAGGTCATGCAAAATAGATCAGCACAAATCTGAACCATAGAAACATGATTCATATCCTTCCAAACTACTCCT